CAAAAGCTGAAGGACGGCTGGGAAGAAATGGAGAAGAATACCTGAGTGCCACATGCGATCGAGTCGAAAGCAAACTTTGACTTCTATTCGCGCTCACAGGGGATATTTTGAAATGCGACTTTAGCATGTTGTAGCACATAGTGTTAGCTAACGTGCATAAAAGTTCCATCGTCTTTTGCAGTTGAGAAGTTTCAAATATATTGCTATAAATTGGCGCAAATAATTTTGGGACACCCTGTTGTTCCAACTTGACTTTTTTTAGGATTTCAAATATTTATTTTGATTGTATTCTGAGAAATGCTTCTGTTCCTCATTTAACATCTGTATGTGATGGTATGGAGGATCATATATCGACCTACAGCTAAACAGACATATTATTGACCATTTTAGATAAAAATGGCTGAAGTAAGCCAGTGAAAGGGCCTGAAGTAGCCTGATTCAACTGCTCGTCTTTCCGTATTGTTAAAGTATTATAGATGTCATCCTGTTGAGAAGTAAACGTTAACACGACTGGCAGTACCTTGGATAGTATCTCTGGGTTAGTGCCTTTCGAAGCCTCGAATCCTCTAATACAAATGGAGGTGTGACATATCCTGAACCAAGCACTATATGTCGTACTGACTGGGACATACGTTGCTCAGCATAAATATAAGTCTACCAATAAATTGCCAAAAACTCGCAACTATCGATGTTTCTGGAATAGTCTATAATGAAAGTACACCAAATTTCGACTAGAAAGGTGCCGTGTGTTTTATTTTCATTTTTTGAAAAAGCTGCATTGGTCTATTCCGCAAAAAGGTACGCCCGCTCTAAGTTTGTTCGCGTCCTCTCTTGTTTGCTTGGTATAACTGCTCTCTTAACCCCTTAACAACAGTGCGGATTTCCACGTGGCGCGTCCATGGGACTTCCTTTCGCGTGCGACTGGCTGCTTTCATAGTCCACGATGATAGCATCTAAAAATATAGGCGACTCTCCGGCGCGTGTCGCGCGGGTGTCACTTGGCCCATTGCGAAATACGGTATATTCTCCTCGACCGAAGATACCTCAATAATGATTACTACAGGAATACATATGAAACACTTCCCTATGATCACCTCAGTGTTGTTCCCTAATGTTCTGGCTCGCTTAGGAGTGTTCTGATGTTTCTAATCTATTCAATAGTCGCGACTATCCCTCTTCCTATACAATGTTCTCCAAGTGTTCGCTAT